TATGTATGTATGTATATGTATATGTATATATATGTATATCGCCGAGATGAACGATGTGCAGATTTTCTTTTCCGTAATGAGAAATTAAAATAACTTTTTCAAGATTACACGTAGCCGTCGTTTATTAACGTTAGATCGACGTACAATGTCGTCTGTTATTTGTTTATCGCGAGTAAAAGTTTCAATGATGCCGATGAGTTCAGGATAAACAGAAAGAAAGCAGAGAAAAGAGAAATGGATTACGTACTATCTAAGCATGCGACTGAATAATCAACCTGAAATTATTGCAATATTGCGCGACATTGTAGAAGATAATAGTCAACGATTGTATAAAGAGTACGACATTTATGAGCAATGTTATATAAGTATGTGTATATATATATATATATATATATATAAACAAAAAGTACATACATATATATGCGTATACTTGTAATAATTGATAAAACCAGGGTAAACATTAACTATTATCTATGTGTAATATTTAAAGGGCGCCTGGAGCGCGATCCGCGCACAGCTGCTCTGTATGTCACTGTAATAGTTATGCGTGTTTGCATTTACGAAATAGAAAAAGAAAAAAAAATGTATATTATATAACATTAACATTAATAATAATAATAATAATAATAACAATAATAATAATGATAGATATGGCTGGCGATACACATTTATTGTAAATAATGGTAATACATACGTTTCTCGATTCGTTTAACATGCCAGCCTTGTTCGTGTAAACGTATCGAGAATCGGAATAATTTAAAAGAAGAACGGTGAACGAAATAAATGAAACAAAGTAGCGTTGCGTGTAACGTGTTGAGAGAAAAATCAAGAAAAGAAAGAAAAAAAAAACAGGCAACACTAAGTAGACTGTCGTAGGTTTATTACTCGTTATTATTGCTCCTGCCTATTCGCAAACTTTGACTGTAATTATCTTGTAAACACGTTGGACCAAGTCGTTGTGAGCACTAGCTGTAAATTGTAGATTGCTGTTTCGCCGGTTTTGTGGTCGTCGAAACGCTGAGTTTAAACGCTCGAACAGAAATTCTTGTAGCTTGTATCGAAGAATACCAATTGTCCAAGCGAGGAGAATCGACCCAATAAAAAAATGTTTATCGTTTTACAACATTAAGACAAATCCATTGAGTGCGTGGCATGTTCCGTAATTATTGAGCCTATCTTCCTTACGTAGGAGGTACACATCGATTTAAATCTCGTTTAAAGAATCTACTGTGTTATTACTCGTCGAGGAATTTCATTGCGATCGGGTCACTTGAATCAATGAGTCAACTTCGTATCAATGAGTCAGTAATCATCGAATACCATTTATCGTGACTCTAATGTTTTAATACAGTCGGACAAATCCAAAGTAGACGAGAATACAGGCTACGAGAGATGCTTCACTTCTCTCTAAGGAGAAGTCAAGCTCTGCTCGAACTGTCTTTTTTGTATTTTGTACACGCGACGCTCACATCGACAAGGCTTGCAAAACGGAAGACTTTCGTAGACCTCGAGATATTTGCTAAATTTTACTATCGTGTTATCTCTTGCGAATCGCTTAATGGACTTTTACAAGATCATCGTGTTGGTAACTTTTTGAAAACGAGAAAGAAACAGAGGAACAGTTTTACTAACTTGCGACTAGATTGAAACGCGAAATGACGACGTGTCGTTCCTAGAGAAAGTGAACATTCTTAGCAAAAGTAGCTACTTTTCAAACGCACTATTCGTTTCTTTTCGATAATGGCACCAGCAAGGATCGCGTAAACCGTTTTTTCTACGGTGAAAATAAAACGTCGTCAAACTCCAGCAAAGTCACGGTAAAACAATTGGAAAGTTATCCGTCATTACGTCAATGTTGCATTGTTTGTGTAATAACAAGCAAATTATTACTATCATGGTATATATTGATAGATCGATGATAATAATATAACGATACTACTACAAAGTGAATGTTGCCTTTTATCACATTGGTTAATCATAAACAAAAAACATAAGGGAAAACTTAATGAATTACATATGATTGTATTAACGACGACTAATAACTATAAATACTATCTATTGTATTATGAGTACTAATAACAATTACTGTGTACAATATGGAGGTTCGTATGATTGTAAATGATATGTGTTGCGTTGATATGTAACGCGTCCCTATGTTAAAATGGGGGCTGTGAAAATAAATCAACCAGACACTTTGTTGGCCTTCTATATTGCCCTGACACACAGGAATATTATATATACTTGATATAAGTCGACTGAAATGTTTTTAATAAACACTAGTGCCTCAAATGTGACAAGTTTCAGTTATATTCATTTATTTTTCGTTCGTAGGTATAGTATAAATATTACATCTACTTGCACGAAGACAGAATTAACAGTCAACAAATATGTGCGAACCGTATCATTCCATTTCATCACTCATTGTCTATCAGAACAAATGCGTTTACCAACAGTTCGTTTTAAAGTATAAATGCGTACAAATCCATTATGACTGAATAAACAGAAACATCATTAGCCAGAAGTATTATGTGAACTATTCTTCATTACTTCCATTTGCATGGTCGATTTTACATGTTCTACAGGAAATGACTTTGATGGTATATGAAAGAAGTATCGCATAAATCCTATTGCCAGTAGAAGATGCATCCCAAGGACTATTACAATATATATTATCCTATATCTTCCTGAAAATTAATTTGTTTTATTAAATTATTCTTATGAACATGTTTATTTATATATATATAAAATACCTGATATTAGAGGTAACAATGATCTCAATAATACTCCTCCAGATAAGAAAGTTGCTATTGCAACTAAGCTCCATTGTAGCCACTCGATTTGAATTGTCCATAGAAAAGTTACTGGGATATAAATAGCTAAAGAGTATCCATAAAGGCATAAAAGCTCCAAAAGTCCAGGTGTTGCATAAGACTAAAACAAATATGTCCCTTTGGCATTATTATACAGTATTGTTCAAAAAAGATGAATGATTAATGTCAAACCTCGATTAATTCTTCTTCTGTGTTCCTTGAACTAGTGGTCCACTTTAATGCACCCCACAACATGAGAGGTAATAGCCATGCATACAAAAATATACATGTGGCAGCATACGATACAATGTGAAATTCGTATCTCCAATGGTATTTGCTTGAATTAGCTGTTTGCAAATAATTGGCCAGATTTCCACTAATGGCTATAGAAAATATTAGCGTAACACAAATCCAAAATGGACCATAAAGATCTGGATTTGGTTTGATATGAGATATCAAGTAATTATCAGTGCTATGTGGAAACATGGATCTTTTGATTCTTTCCACCACGTCGTTTGTCTTTACATTGAAAAATTTTTGATAATATTCTATTGTCCAGAAACTATGCGATGCAGCTAGAAGAGAAAAAAGAAATATAATATGTTTAGAGATGCACAAGTACTTGACATTTACGTGACAGACGAAATATCTTAAATTGTAATATTCATCATAGAAGTGACAAAAATCGTTATAAAATTACTCGAAACTAAACAAAAGATCATAAAAGCATGAACCTTCATTTTTATCGGGCATTCCTTGTAGATCTTCAATAATATCCATTCCTGTGGGATCATTTGAGAGGTTATTAAAACCTTGATGACTGGAGGCATTGACGTCCAACTGAGCTTGACCAATATTTCCTTCATGATTTATTGAAGGAAAATCTTGAAACGAAATAAATTGTGAATCACTTGTTTTCTGACTTCCATCCATAGCTATTTATTTTGCACTTTTGCCCATCCGTTTGACAAGAGTGGCACGTATACATTGCAAAAAGAATACATACACACACACAACACACACACACCCCAACGGTTTGTTCGACCAATCCAATTTAAGTGTCATCAGTTAAAACTTACTAATATGTTTTTTATTAACTTTATTTTTGATGTGAACAAATAAAAAATTGCCAAACGAAATATATGTACATATATAATTTTTTATGTACTATTAATAAAACCGTATATGAATTATGCATGAATTTATATAACTGAGTCTCGTACAATTTCTGACCAATATAATATGTATAACTAAGATAATGTATAAAAAACAAAATTACTATAATTATCTGTAGTTTACTATGTCGAATGGTATAAAAATAATTTGTTATTATTAAAGCAATTAATAGAGTTAATAGAATAATTAATTAATATCTTCGTGATATATTTGTCTTAAAATAAATACAAAAGATGCAAAGATTTCGACTTTGCTATCGCTATCATTTTTTTTCTGCGAGAATTTATGTATTTAATAAAAAGTTTATGAATTACAAGCGCAAATGACTACGTAGAAATATATTTATCTAGATGTATTGTATAGGTACTCTATTACCCCGGCTGAATTTAGACAGTAGTTGATTACCTTTCTGACAGTTCGAAAGGAATTTATTAGAACGTTCTCACAAGATTGGAATAATATCGAACAGTATTTTTTTCTTACAATATTACTAATAATGTATTCCATTGTATAAAATAAAGTGAACGAGAAGAAAGGTAAAGGTATGTTTTGAAATGTTTTGTTTCTTAAGTTTTAAGTGCATAATTTCTTTTGTATTTAATTTTTGGTATTTTTGTTTCTACGTTCCATAAAAAGAAATTATTTTTTAGGATGTAACATTTAATTATTAGTAAGAATTGCTAGCCATTGAAATAATTATTATTTGTTTTTCGATAGGTTAGGTGACTCACACTTTTTCCCAAAATTCTGCTCAACAGTGACCAAGTATTAAAAAATGTTACGAGCTTCTAATCTTCTGAAGGTTCTTCAGAATATCAGCCACTACAATAAAGAATATTTATATATGTTTCAAGTGGGACATGCAAGGAGGCACGCTGGTACTTTAATAACATGTAACTATAATGCGAAATACAAGGTGCAAATTGTTGCGAATCCTCGAAAGATTTTTAGTGTAAACAGTGTACAGCATTCACAAGAATGGAGATGGATCCTTATTACGGTTTCCAAGCCAATATCTATTATAGCTAAGGTACAAAAAGAAGAAACGGAAAACTCGAGTAAAAAAACAGAGACTGATGTACAAACAATAATAGAATTAAAAAAAGAAAATTTAGGACAGTTAAAAGAAAGGAAGTTAGATGTTAAATCTGATGATAGCCAAGCTAAAGAAGCTCAACAGAATGCAAAAACAGAAGGTACAGAAGGAAATATAGTCAAAAAAGTATAGTAAAAACTTTGTTGATTTTTTAGTCATTTCTTATTTTCATTGATTTTCATCATAGTTAATGTCATTTATATTTTTATTTTTTTTCTTTCAGTTAAAAAGAAGAAAATGGATAAAATGGTGTCATCCTTAGAACGTAATTTTATTACACCAGTCAGAGCTATGTCTGATTTTTTGTTGAAACCATCTGATCTTGAAAATTTACCAAAGACAAAAAGAAGATCACCTTATGAATTTGAACCTCCAATTACTGTTTACTGGAGAAAAGATGTGGAAGCTAAGTAAGCTTAGATTTTGATTGAAATCCAATTGTAATATAAATTACACAGTAGTGTTCAAGATACTGTGTTTACTTTCAGAGCAATAGAAGTTTGGGGATCAAGGGAGACTTTAATGAAAGAACTTCTTAAAAAAGAACTTGAAAAGAAAGCATACCAACAAAGTAAGAACAATATGTTTTCATCTACATATAATATTAGACTGGTGTAAATATTTCATTTTAAATGTTCTGTCATTTCATAGATATATTTACTGTTAAACGAAGATTAAGAGATTATAGACGAGAAATAGGTAGCAAAGCCCAAGTTTTTGAACAAGAAGGACTTTTTGGGAGATCTGGTAAAGTAGTTTTAATTGCCATTGCAATGTAAGCTCTATTTTTTTATTTTTATATGA